TGCCCTGCTTTATTTAGTAAAATATTGCTTCTACTAATATAACTCCGATTTTGTTTTTGTTTGTGAATTATCCTGTTTAGTCTAGTAAACAAATTTAAGTGAAAAACCCTGAAATTTAGATTAAATTTAACCTACTTTTATTCCTTGTTAGTTAACTTTTATTCATATTCTGGCATAAATGAGCATGAAATAGAAATAATTCCCATAGTTCCTCACTTATTGACATAGGGCATAACATACTGCTTAAATTTTCTATTAGGAGGTTCTAAACTTGTAGATATTCAATTATAAAGGTAATTAGGGCCCAACTTAAAATTGGTGTTCCAGAGCGTGTCTTTGCCATTATTCTTTCTGACAGGACCTAAATACATAAATCTTCTCAAATTTCCTTACCTTAGTAAAAAATGATTCCCTCTTTACTCGTTTAATCTATCATTGATTTCATCTGCAAATTTCATATGGCAAGCTCTTGCTTATTTGATTATGGGACCTCTTCATTCTCTTTGGCCCAAAAGTAGATAATGAGATTCTGGATTATAACTGTATACCATCCGATTCTTCCCTGGATCTTAAAATGGCTTATTTTGTCTATATTTGTCTCGTATAAGCCTCCACACTTTAATAGCATAGAATATGCAAACTGATTAATTTTGCAAGGATGCCTGTCAAGTTTCTTCTTGAATTATCTAAATTTGAGTTTCTGCATTCTAGTTTAAGGCTAGATATAAGTGATCAATGTGAATTTTATTTTTATTTTTCTAATGTAAATTAGAAGTTAGATTCAATAAGCAAATGCTTCAACTCACTTAAATACATTAGGATAAACTTTGTTCTCAAGCATGTGTTTCCAACGCATCTGTCCTTCGTCATGAGGTTTAGAAGCGGGCGGACCTAGTTTTCGCAACTTGGTTGTATTGTCATGGAGACTTATTTGGGCACACCTTGTCCAACTCCCTCGTCTGTAGTGGCTATCATAATTCCTAGCGTTGTATCGTGGACTTGCTGCATTCTCACACTGTCCGACGCTGGGAATTATAATGACCACTATAGCAGAGGACTTCGGGTAATGAGTCCAATTAAGTAGCCCTGACAACACGACAAAGTAGCGAAAATGAGGTAAGCCCAATTCTATACATTGAAAGGAGACTGCGCCCATACCAAAGGCCGCACAATCGTGGTCTTCATATATATATATGCGATTTAGTTTAATAATTATTAAGATAATCTTTTAAATTAGGGATGCTTTGATAAGAATGTTTTTCTTTGCACCTTGCTGCATTTTTACCTCCCTGTAAGCCATATGACGTCTAAATTCATCAAGATCTGGACCGAAATGGGTAAATTTAAACAGTGATTCGTCGGCCTAGAATTTTTCTGGTAAGATAGTTTTTTTTCACCTTGTCTGAAATTTTACTTTGCTATCTTCATGTATCTTGAGTATCTTAGTTTTTGCTACTCTGACTATTCCTCAGATAATGAAGTGTCTATCAAACTGCTCTTTGCCCAGCATTGCTGCTGTCAATGGACATGCATTTGCTTCGGGCTGCCAGCTGGTTGCCTCATGCGATCTGGCTGTTTCCGTGTCTTGGGCCAAGTTCGCTGTACCTGGAGTCAAATTGGGCCTCTTCTGTTCTACACCTGGTGTGGCATTGGCCCGGGCGATTGGCAGGCGAGCTGCTGCTGAGCTTCTTCTAACTGGTTACCTTTATTTTTGAAGCTTATATCTAACCTTTAATTATATCTCTTTATAATGACCCATATAATATACGCATTCATTTATACGTTTTTTCAATAAATGCTCATCCTTCCCATATGTCAACCAATATGCCACTGCTATTAATTGCTAGGTAAGTTCCTCATATTTAACTACAGTTCTGAGGTTGATTAGTTAGTTTAACCAAAATCCATAATAAGCTACGTGTG